TCAATAACATAACCATTATAAACATATATTTTTCAATATTCTAACAATATATTTTTAACCTGCGTCGCGCAACGCGCGAGAATTCGTCTGGTATTGGTATTAAACCCGAGTTAAGGTGGACCTCATGTGTTCCTAACTGAGCTATTAACATGCTATAACCGATAATGAAAATGTGTTTTTTCTTTTTAAATAATAATTTATTTTTATTTGTGTATAAATACTATAATTCATTGGTATTTTTATAGTAAACAAAATTAAATAGTTTTCTTTTTTTTTTACAATCTTCTTACCTCTTTCCCAATTTTAAACTTCATAACTTTGAAATGCATAATATGAATTCCAGGCGTTTATCGATGAAATGGAATCACACAGAACAAAGTCGTACTTTTTTGTAGAATCAATACAATTATAATACCCACTTCGAAAGAAAAACAACAATCCATAAGTGAGAGAGAAAATCCGATGGGCGGCGGCGGCGGAGGCGGAGGTGTCCGTGGAATTCTGCTGGACAGCTCTGTTCTTTTGGACTCCACCTCAAACGACAACGAAACTGCATCACTTCGCTCCGGAGCTGACTATTTACTTCGCAAGCTTCGTCATTCCAACATTCCGACGGTAACTCTTTCTCTTCGGCCACTCTTCTCCGTTTCTCTGATTTCTCCGATCTTTTGTTGTGCATGCAATTCTTGTACTCTTTTACCAATTTCATCTTTTTAGGTTCTCTGACATTATTCCTTTAGATTGCTTGAATTATAATGTGGAAATACCTCTAATTGTCTCGATAACCCATGGATTCTTTTGTGAATCCATTACTCCTTATTCATACATTCATACCCATGGAAACAGTGACGAACCAGGGAGTAGTCGCTACTCCCCCCAATCCAGTTCTTCTAGTTCACCTTTTGGTTAACAAAGATCTTTATACGATTTATTCCCCAAACTGAAAATGTAATCAATTTGTAAACTTCAATGGATCGATCATTGCGATTTGAGATTGAGAATTCAGATGATGAGTTGCTTAAAACCACTCTTAAACCTTGGATACATCAACAACCAAGCTCATGTGTAAGCTTGCTTATTTCATCTTTTTTTGTCTGCATTTTAACTTTCATCTTTCCTTCTGTACAGGGAATATGTTATGCAGTAGGTCTTCAGGAAGCAAAGGTAATACTGTATCAAGATGATTTGCATGAATCGAATCTTTTACATATTCTGTAAGAAATATAATAAGTGGGTTTCATATTCTTATTGTAGGTGAGCCTTCTTGAGAAGCTGATTTGTGAATTCTCATTTGAGAGATTCATCTACAATCGATCTTCTATAGATGACACTATAAATGTGGTTTCTCAAGCTTGGGAGAACAATGGTGGGAGTATTATGCACGTGGTTTTAAACAACTTTGAAGGGATTCTTCCAAATGCATCTAATTTTGGTTGGATGAATGTTGTTGTAAGTAAGTAACTAGACTTTAGAAGAAAGCTCACTTTAATCTTATATTAACACAAAGTCTTTTTCTTTTTTCGACTTAATGAACTGTCTGAATGTGAGTAAATGACCATTTTACCCTTCTGAACTAATGAAATGATCTAGATGGTGATGGTGATGGCTTGAGTAAAGATCCAACCGGGATTTGTATAAAGAAACTAGAAGAGTTGCCTATGATAATATGTGAGTTGAATAAAAAGGTAATATTTATGTCTCTTTCCACATTTCTCAATAACAAATTTCTTGTGCTTTTTTGATATCTATAGGAATTCTTTGGTAGAGGATTTGTTTTGATTGTTAATATAATTGTTGTTCTTTGTTTCCATTATTTTGAATTAAAAAAAAATCAATAATTATGTTTTCCTTTTTTCCTTTTGCATTCAAATAGTCAAGTGAGGATAACGTGGTTGTGGGTTATATTATGAAGCCCTCTCGTGAAGCAGATTTTGCAAAGGTGAGATTTTTTTTCATTTTTTTTTAATTCTAAATACTAAGAATGACTATAAAAGTTTAAATGTGCATTTATGCAACACCATTTTACCCTTTTCCTAGTTTATGCAATAAAGGGCTTTTTAGAGAAAATTATATAAAAAAAATTTATTGTAACATTGAAAGCTAAATAATATCATCTTTTTGTTTGCAGAGAGGTGCATTTCCACTAAACCCTACCCAAAATGGCTTGATATTTTTGCCTCTCACATTTGATCTCCCTATATTATCACAATTGAAAAAAGTGGACATTATTATCCATAAAGCAACCGATGAAATTTCATCAATTGAAAGAAGCAATTCCTCTAGTAAGATCATTTACACCACAGGAATGCTGGAATTGCAGAGGTAAACTTATAAAAATAATCAACTTGATATGTATATATAATTCTTAAGTCTGATAAGCTATATATGAGTGTTTCTTTTTTACCTAATACAGATCAATTTATCTATTTTACAAATTTGCCCTCGTTTTAGGTGTATAGGTGAACTTCCAGATTGTTGTGTGATCGATCCATTTGATAACATTTTTCCAGTTGTGGATCGATTGAGAATTCAAGAAATCTTATTAGGATTGGTTGAACTTAAAACAGAAAGTCAATGCAATATCAGAGGGCCTTATTTTCTAAAGGTTTTCTACATTATAAAATATTTTATATAAAATATTTGATTCACTCAATATTTAATTTATTTGTGAGAATATGAATATGTTTGCAGGTTGATAATTTTGAGGATCTTGAATTGGAAAAAAGGCTCCATGATGCTAAATTATGTCTACCAAGTATTGTAAAACCTCAAGTTGCATGTGGTGTAGCTGATGCCCATAGTATGGTAATATACTATTTTGCATAAAATCATTTTTTTTTTAAATAATAATTAAGAAAATGACTTAATTGGGAAAGAAAAAGCACCTAATTGCATTATGTATATGAACACAAGTAAAACCTGTAATTAACATCTTATCAAATTCTAATTTTTTTTTTTTTCAATGTATTCTAATCAACAGGCTATTGTCTTTAAAGCTGCTGATTTCCCAGGTTTAAATGTTCCTCTTCCAGCAATTGTGCAGGTATGCAATTTAATTTATTGGTTGATAGGGGTAAATTTGGTATTATCTTTTTTTAGGGTTCCTTTTGGGGCATTGTACTATTTTCACTTTCTTGTTTCCTTTTTCCTAATAAGTGTTGTCTGGATAAACAATGCTTAAAATAAAGTTGAGAAAATAGAAGCTAAATAATAAATGAAGGAAATTTTGTAAAAGGTATTCTCTGATTTTCTTTATTAAGTCAAAAAGAAACTCTCATTCATATATAGCTTTTGATTAAATGAGTTAAAAAGAATCTTAACTTGCATTATGTGAATTGAAATTACAGGAATATGTGGATCATTCATCAACTCTTTTCAAATTCTATGTTTTGGGGGAAAAGGTATTCTATGCAGTGAAAAATTCAACACCAAATGCCAATATCTTGAAGAACTTATCTGAAAGCAATCAATTCCAACCTCTACTCTTTGACAGGTATTACATGATATTGTTGTTTCCAAAATCCAAATTGATTCAAGAATTTGATTTAAATAATCATCTGTTACAGTTTAAAATCTCTTCCTACTGATGGAAACAAGAAGCCTTCAGAGATGAAAGAACATGATCTTGATCTTGATCTTGATCTTGTTACTGATGCTGCAAATTACCTTAGAAGTGTTCTTGATCTCACAATCTTTGGCTTTGATGTTGTTGTGAGTCACCCTATGAACCCTAAACGCTAAACCGAAAAAAGATTTGCAAAATTGACTGATTTTGAGCTGAAAATTGAAGCACAATGGTCGTATTTGAATCTTTATTTCAAAATTTGATAAGTTGATAATGATATTCATCATGTTAAATCCTACTTTTGGTTGAATTTGTTGCATGTTATTAATATTTCAGATTGAGGAAGAAACACGAGATCATGTTATTGTGGATGTAAATTACTTGCCATCATTCAAAGAAGTGGCTAATGATGTTGCAATTCCTGCATTTTGGGATGCTATCAAGATGAAGTATCTTTTGTTTAGAAAGAGAGAGAATGAAAATCGTGTTTGATAGCATGTTTTAATAAAGAATCACAATACAATTGTTGTTTGCAATCTTGTAATGAGTACTATTCTTTGTTTATCACAAGTGTAGTCTTGATGTTTAAAAAATATTTATGAACATGATGCAAAAGAAACTCATATATAACTTATTTTATGTGTTTCTTTCTGTCATTTACTGATATATGGATAAATAATGTCGATTGAAATAAGTTTTTGTTATGAACAAATAGTGTTGCTTATTTTGGACCAAATTAAGAGGTCTAGAATAATAATGAATAAAAGATGTTTGTCATTAATAATCCTTATAAATGTAAAATTAAAATAAAAAGAACAAAAGAAGACATTCTCTACTTTTGGTCAATATTTCACAAGAAATTACAAACACGAATGCTATTATAACATCATAATTACATCAACAGAAATGATGTTTGGGTTGTTAGTTGGGATTATCTGGTCTTTGCTTTCTTGGCGATTTGGTCATTTTGAAATGTTTTTCCTCTTTTGTTATGAAGCTTTCCCTTTTTCAACTGTTCTTTTTTGTGTTTTTTCCTATTAGGGTTTCTCTTCTGAAGACAAGATAAATGAGAAAATGATTAGATGTAAAAAATAGCAACATATTTTCATTGATTTGTTTGTTATAGCATTAGCATCCTATTTTTTATTTCATCCTATTACAGCATTGTACTTTGAAAAATACAACAATGTCATCCAAACACAAAGCAATTTTGCACTGCTATAATTGAGTGGATTTTTCGAAGTATGATGTCCTAATAAGAAAAAAAAAATCAAAAGTACAATATAACCGGATAGATTTTCTAAGAAACAATATCTTAATAAGAAGAAAATTGGCTTTCAAACTTTGGCCACAACACTTTTCTTTTCTATATTAACAGGTTGGGTACCTACACATTTTGGGTTTCAGACTCTGGCCACAAGACTTTCGTATATCTCGGCAGGTTTGGTCCTTAATTGTCATGTTTGGTCCCTAGACTTTTTTGGGTTTCAGACTTTGGCCACAGGACTTTTGTATATTGGCAGGTTTGGTCCCTATACTTTCGTATTTAGCATGTTTGGTACGTAAGATCACTCTAGTTACATCTAAATGCAAAGCAATTTTCACTACTATAATTTAGTACATTAACGTGTCTTACAATGCGCTTTCTCATGCTCATGTATAAGTCCATGACCAACAACTTGTGTTGCGAAGCACTCGTCTCTCCCGGTAACGCCTTACAATCTATACACGCCTTACGGTCCCATTTTCGCAAAAGGAGGTAGTCATTTTGACTATTATACCCCTCATTGTGAAAGGTAATCAAATGCGCATCCCTCTTTTTATAAAAGGAGTTTGCAACCACCAAATCGTGTGCAGTTGCAAACTCTAGTAACCTATGTCCCTCATCGTTCCTAGTACCAAATCCAAAACCACCGTGCACTGTCTCATATCCATCCGCCTTTTTTCCTATATGTCCATTGAAGTCTCCCCCTAAGAATATACATTCATTGATAGGTATACCTTTTACTATATCATCTAATGATTCCCAAAAACTCCTCTTTATCGAATCTTCTAGCGTGGCATGTGGTGCGTATACGCAGACGACGTTCACCATCTTTCTCTCTACTGCTACCTTGATCGCAATGATCCTATCGCAGCATCTTTTAACTTCTACTACGTTGTCTTTGAGGTTTGTTGATATCAAGATCCCTACACCGTTTATTGCGTTCTCTAGTCCTGCATGCCACAAGTTATACCCGTTACACTCGAGTGTAGCTTCCTCCCCCTTCCACTTGGTTTTTTGTATGCATGCGATATCCACTTTCCTTTTTCTTAATGTATTTGTCAATTTCAATAACTTATCATTCAATGTTCCAACATTTATGGTGCATATTCGTACTTGGCCTTTGAGATGAGGCCTTTTCGGAAGCTGCTCAAACAAAAACCAATAAATAAAGCTATTAGATAGTAAACAATAAATATTAGAAGGGAAATGTTGAATGATAAAGAATAATTCATAAATGGTAAATAGTAAATAGTAAATAAAATACGGTATGTACTAGATTAGACATATAAATAAGTAACAAACTATAAGTAGGTAATACAAAAAAGATGATAGAGACTAAGAGGGTGCTTGGGATTTCATTTAAAAACAACTTATTAACTTTTTGAAAAGTGTTTGGCAATATGAAAAGGACTTCTAAAATAACTTCTCATGGACTCTTCAAAAAGAAGATTTCAATAAGTTAGGATTTCTAACTTTTCAAAACTCCTAATAACTTTTTGGTTGTAAAATACAAATTCCTCCTAAAACATGTAAAAGCTAAGACAAGCATTTTTTAAAAAACAACTTATTAACTAATTGACTTTTTCCACTACAAAAACTAATCCAAACACTTTAAAAGAAAACTCATTTTCTCACCACCATAAGTCAACAAATCATTTTTCCTAAAAGCCATTTTGAGGTTCAAAATGAAATCCCAAACACCCTCTAACAAGTTGTAATAATTTAATAAGTAATATATAGTATATGTTAAATGTTAAGTACTAAGTAATACATATTAGCCGGTTAAAAAGGTTAAATTTTAAGTAATAAATAATAGTAATATTAAAGGCTTAAAAGGTGATATCAAATAATAATTAAAAGCAAAGGCTCATACAAGAATAGATAGATCGGCAACTTCACAAGCCAATTGAGCTTGTTTTGCATGTAATTCCTTCATTTCCTACAAAATAAAAGCATATTTTAGTTTCTCATTTGATTGTAAAATGTGATAGATTTCTCAAAATACAATGCTTTAATAAGAAAAGAAATTCAAAGTACAATGTTATAGTAAAATGAAATGGAAGTAAGATGCCATAATACACAAATAAATGAAAGTACATTGCTCTTTCTTACATTTAGCCTTGAGAAAATGTTGGCATGCTTGGGAAATGAAAGAAATAGCAACGTACTTTTATTGATTCTTTATTATAGCATCCTACTTTGATTTTCCCATATTACAACATTGTACTTTGAAAAATCTACCCAAGTATAGCAATGTCATTCAAACACAAAGCAATTTTCACTGCTATAAATGAGTACATTTACAACAACCTCTCTTGCAATGCTCTTTATCATGCTCATGTATAAGTCCATGATCAACAGTCTGTGTTCCGAAATGCTAATCTCCCCCGATAACACCATGCAATCTATGCACGCACTAAGATATCGTTTTCGCAAAAGAAGGTAGTCATTTTGAGTGCTTTTCCCCTCACTCTCAGTCTGAAAGGTAATTAAATGCGCATCCTTCTTTTTAAAAAAGGAGTTTGAGACCACCAAATCGTGTGCAGTTGCAAACCCTAGTAGCCTGTGTCCCTCTTCGTTCCTAGTGCCATGTCCTAAACCACCGTGCACTGTCTCATACCCATCCGCCTCTTTTCCTATATGTCCATTGAAGTCTCCCCCTAAGAATATACATTCATTCATAGGTATTCCTTTTACTATATCATCTAATGATTCCCAAAAACTCATCTTTTTTGACTCTTCCAATGTGGGATGTGGTGCGTACGCAGAGATAACGTGCACTACCTCCTCCTCTACCACTACCTTAATCGATATAATCCTATCAAAACATCTTCTAACTTGTACTACATTGTCTATAAGATTCTTTGATAGCAAGACTCCTACACCATTTACAGTGTTCTCCAGGCTGGCATACCACAACTTATAGCCATTACACTCGGTGGTTTCCGCCCCCTTCCATTTAGTCTCTTGTATACAAGCAATGTCCACTTTCCTTTTTCTTAATGCATCGGTTAGTTGCACCAACTTATTCTCATCCACTCTTCCTACATTCAAGGTACATATTCGTATATGACCGCTATCACTTGTTATTTGAGGCTGCTCAACCGAGAATCCAACACCAATAAATAAAGCCATTTAGATAGTAAACAATATATATATTAAATGGAAAATATTGAGTAATAAGTAATCATTTGAGTTATGAGGCAACAAAAAAGAAGTGGTTATGGATGGATGAAACGCTTTCTCTCTCTACAATTCTCTCTGATCGACGGCGCGTTTTTGGCTTGATTTCGTCGTTGCTTCTTCACCGGTGAGTTGTTCCATCTTAGTGCTGAAGAATTTTCTCATCCATTTCCGTTGTTGCGATGGGTGCTTCTTCCAAACAGGATTGATTGAAGGATGTTAAGGTGAAGCCTCCGGACAAGAGTGTTGCGATTCGCTATGTTAGAACGGAAGTAGATGTGAATGAAGTGGTTCCTCCAGGGGTTGTGGAGCAGTCCTCAGCTACAATCTATCGGACTCGTCGTAAGCCTAGTGCGACTGGAGCTGTAGCTACGGGAATTGGAAAAGCTAAGTGGAAATTGGAAGGAAAGGCACGTAGAGTAAAGAATAGGGGTAGAAATGATAGTGATCGCAGTTCCCCTATGGAAGCTGAAGGGTACTACGACAATGATGTGACGGAAGAAGAAACGGAGGTTGAATCTTGGAGTGAAGGGATGTGGGAATCGGATTCGAGTTTTCAGTTGAATGCTGGAAATGATTTGACTAAGGTGGTGTATTCGAATGTTGAGCAAATTCATTCTGGGAGTAACACTTCAGTTGTTCCCGATGTTCAAATTCCTACAGGTAATACTTACCTGCTTCCCTTTCTAAAAATTGGGGTGGTTCTATGAGTGGTGAAGAGATCTTAAGTCTGAATGTTGAATTGAAACACATTACTAATCAGATGAGGTCATCGATTGCTGTTAGTGATGTTATTGGCCATAAATCATCTGGTAGTGTTGAATATTATGATGAAGCTACTAGAATTAGTAATGTGGAAATTGGACTTAATGATGGATAAGAAGAGCAACATTGCTTTTGAGGAATTTGGACCTGGAGTGGGATTTTCTTTCTTAAAGGATATTAATCAGAATCAAGAGGAGAAGGAAAATAAGTTTAAAACTGATGAAGTTATTATGGGTAATGGGGAGGATGCTAGCAATGGTTCTAATGTGTATTGGGATAAAACTGGGAATCTGATTAATACTAAGGAAGGTGTATCAGAGTCTGAAAATGAAATTGGTGATAGGATTGTTGATCCAATGCAGAATAGGGACACTAGTAGGGTGGGAACTGTTATTAATAGCATTAATTTCCTTGCTGGGTCCTGCTGGAAAGGGGAATGGTAATGTTGTTATTGATAATGATGGGAAGGGGAAACAAGAACTAGGGGAGCAATGCATAAAGGGAAGATAGAAGTTAAGTATATTCCTGCAGGGGATGGGAAGGATGATATTATTCCAATTGAGAATCTGAAAAAAGCTAGTATCCCGTATTCTAATACTCTGTATGGTTATATGATAGATAAGAAGATGGCTTTTCCTGCTATTCAAAAGGAATTAAAACGTATGTGGAGGAATGTGGGACTGGAGGATATGTTTATGAATAGCAAGGGATTCCTGTTTTTTAAATTTTCAAATGAGCAGGGATGCAAGCTATTTTGGAGGGTAGCCCTTAACATTCCTATATTTTTGCAGAGATGGAGACCTGGTCTTACACTTACTAAAAACAGTCATAACAAGGTTCCAGTGTGGATTAAAATTTATGATCTGCCTTTGGAAGTGTGGAGTGGAGAGAATCTATGTATAATTGCTAGCAAGTTGGGAATTCCATTGGCTTTTGATTCTTATACGGAGGAAATGTGTCTTGAACATAAAGGCAAGAATGCTTATGCTAGGATCCTGGTTGAAATGTCAGCTGAGAAGGAATGGAAAAAAAAAATATAGAGGTGACAACTTGGGATTTTGTGTTGAATTCTGCTGTTAATCAGGAATTTGCTGTGGAATATGCTTGGTATCCTTCTCGATGTTCACACTGTAAAGTTTATGGTCATGCTGAGAAGATTTGTGTGGCTGCTATGAGTGAAAGGAAGATTGTTAAGGAGTTGAATGAGAAAGAGAATAGTCAAAAGTCTAAAGGGAAAGGAGTTATGGATGATGAGGGTTTTACTGAAGTGATTAAGAAAGGAGGTAATGGGGGAGCAAAATCAGGGAGCAATAGTGGGATGAAAGGAAATGGTGGGAATAAACAATTTCAGAATAGTCATGTTAGCCATTGGAGTACTAGTAAAGGGAATGTCAATAGAGGTAATGGGGGAAATAAGGGTGGATATGGGAAGGGGCAAAATGGGAAATGGATGAATAGCAGTGTTAGCCATTGGAATCAGGCATTTGAAGCTGCTAATAGTAGTACTAATGTGGGATTGAAGAGGGAGCAGAATGGGAATAGTAAAATTGAAACTGTCATTCAAGGCAAAGGATAAATGGAAAATAAAGAGAATGTGAAAGGAGGTAATTTGATGAATTCTGGAGCAGAAAACAAGAAAAGTAACATGAATAGATTTGAAGTTTTGGGGTCGATTGTAGAAGATTTTGTAGAAAGAATGGAGGAAGATGCTATGAATGGTAGTTTGGGTGTTTCTGGGTTACCTGTTAGTGATTTTAAACCTCCTAATATGGGTATGGAAAAGATTGGTGATTCAGAATATGGAGGGAATGAAGATGTTTTGGGGAATGGTTCTGATTTGAATCTAGTTGGATCTTATCAGAGTATGGGAAAGAATAAGGAAGGAGTTATAGGTTCTCAAGCATTTGAGGGGGAAAATGCCAAAAATACTATTATTATCCAATGAAGAAAATATAGGTGCTTGGAATATTAGGGGTCTGAATAAAAGTATTAAGCAAACTGAGGTGATTAGGGGGAATAATCTTGGTTTATGTGCTATATTGGAATCGCATGTGAAAGACATGAAGTTGGCTAGAGTGTGCTCTAGGGTTTTGGGAATTGGGAGTGGGTGTCCAATAATTCTTCTTGTATGTCAGGTGCTAGAATCATTATTGGATGGAATCCCAATATTTTTGATTTGATGGTGTTATCTCATACTAATCAGATCATTCATTGTCTTATTAGAACCATAGAGACAAACTGTGAGATGTATATCTCATTTATTTATGCTGCATCGCAGTATATTGATAGAAGACATCTTTGGGAGAATTTGGGGAAACATAGATTAGTTGTTGATAATAAGGCCTTGGCTTTAATGGGTGATTTTAATGTTGCTATGAAGCCTTCGGAATGCTCTATTAGTTCATCAAAAATTCCTGAGGGAGTTGCTGATTTTCTGGATTGCATTAATATAATAGAAGTTGAGGATATTAACTGTACAGGTCTTCAATTTACCTGGACTAAGTCACCTGCTGGGGTGAATGGTATATTCTTAAGAAGTTGGATAGGGTTATGGCTAATTTGAAATTCTTGGAGAATTTCCCATTGGCTCATGCTATCTTTAAGCCTTATCGTGTTTCTGGCTATTCCTGTGAATAAGTCTAGAAGAATCCATCCTTTTAAGTTTGTGAATTTTGTTGATGATAAGGAGGAGTTTTTGCCGATGGTAAAGGATGTGTGGGATTGCAAAATTCATGTTTAGAGTTACTCAGAAACTAAAATTGTTGAAGAAGCCTTGTCGAAATCTGTTTAATACCTTTAACTGCTCTGGAAAGAGGTTACATGATTTAAGGAGGTCCTTGGATGCTAAGCAAGTTGAATTAGATAAGGATCCTTTTAATTCTGTAATTAGAGAAGATCATGCATGTTAAAGTTTTGTTGGAGTTTTATGAGGCTAGTGAGGATGAGGAGAAGCTTCTTCTACAGACTAAAATTAAATGGCTTAAGGAATACCAGTTTTTTTTCATAAAACTGTTAAAAGTCGAATGAACAAGAATCGTATTTCTTTGGTGCTTGATGAAGAGGGTAGATGGGTTCGTGGCAAAAGTTAACTGGAAAATTGTGTGTACTCCTAAATGTTATTGTGGTTTGGGTCTGAAAGATTTAAAGAAGTGGAATGATGTTTTGCTGTCAAAACATGTGTGGAATATTGTGAATAATCAGAATTCTTTGTGGGTAAGGTGGGTTTATCAATTTCATATTAAAGATAGAAATTTTTGGGATATTTTATTTGAGGTTAACCTGAAGTGGACTTGGAAAAGGTTTTTAAATGTCCGAAAATGCTTAAGACCCTCACATTGTTTCAAGTATTGGAAATTGTGAAAATACATCCATATGGCATGACTGGTGGCATCCTATTGGCATCATCAGTATGCTGATTTCTAAAAGGGAATGGGTTAGCAAAGGATTTAATGATCAATCTAAAGTTGAGGATATTTTGGTGAATGCTCAATGCTGTTGGCCAAATGATTGGTTGGAAATTTATCCAGGTTTGGAGGATGGTCCTATGTTCTGTAATAGTGGGAGCCAAGTTGATAGTATTGTTTGGAGAGATTCGAATGGTGTTAGTCAACATTTCTCTTGTAATCAGGTTTGGAAGGACTTGAATAATTTTGGAACTAAAGTTCCTTGGTATAATGTTGTGTGGTTTAGCAATAACATACCAAGGAATGCCTTCATTCTTTGGATGGCTATTTTTGGGAAAATTGAAAACTCAGGATCGAGTTAAAGTGTGGGAAACTAAAGGTAGACTTCTATGTCCTTTGTGCCTTAATGTCATTGATTCCCATGACCACTTATTCTTCAAGTGTGATTATTCCAACCAGATTTGGGAGCATTTCAATAATAAGACTGGGATCAGAATTAACTATGATTGCTGGAATGACTTAATTTTTAAGGTTTGCTGTTATACTAAGGGGAAATCAATAGTTTCTGTGATTAGGAAACTTGTGTTGGCTCATATTTGGCATGAGAGAAATTCTAGGCAATTTAGAGCTGTGATTTGTCCTTGTAATGAGGTGATATATTGTATGTATAGAAAAGGAGATTCAGTTAAAATTGCTTGGGATGAAGATTCAGGATAATATGTTGTATGCTGATGTGTGTAAGGACTGGGGTATCCATGTTATGGACAAGAGGTACAAGGAGAGTGAAAGCAGTAATAATAAGAAGCAGAATGGGAGTTGTTAATTGTATGTGGTATTGGGTGTTTGTGAGATTATTTCTTTGGAGATTTTGGTTGGCAGTTATATGATTAAAGGAATTGACGGATTCTGTTGCTTACTTTCAAATCAAGTGGCTTGTACCTTAGGGGATTTCTATTTGGATATGATCTTTGTTGAGATTATTCAAATAGGGATCCCTAGACATGTGATTGATGCCATGTCTAGTCTGAAACTTGTTTTGTATTCTTTTATTCTTTTTAATAAAGTTTGCTCAGCTTTGGCTCTTTCAAAAAAAAACAAAAAACAAAAAAGAAGTGGTTTGCGGATGCCGGATGATGTGATTTACCGAAACAATCTTATTTTCAAGGAGCAAGGGAAAAGGAAGATCCAATACTTGAATCCAAAATTTCTATTTCTTACTCTTGGATTTTGATTAGGTGTAAAAATAATTTATAACCATAAATATAAAATACTTAAAAGGTGATAACAAAAATAATTAAAAGTAAAGGCTCTTACAGGAGTAGAGAGACCGGATAAATAACATGATGGAATATCAGCAACTCCACAACCCAATTCGGCCTGCTTTACCAATATTTTTTTCAATTCCTGCAAAATAAAAACATATTTCAGTTTTCTCATTCTTATGTGGAAAGTTTTCGTATATAATTGAGTAGATTTTCCAAAGGAAATAAGAAAAAAAAATGAAATAGAAAGAAATAAAAGTGCATTGCTATTTAACATACCTTACAACGTAACATGGATATCTTTTCTTCCTTGGATTTTTTCACACTTGTGGGATAGTTCTTCTTACGATCCTCATGCCACTGCTTAATTTCTTCATCCGTGTAATTAAAAGAGCGTACTTTTCTATAAATGACAAGTTTACCCTTATTAAAAACACAAGTTGTATTAAGTAGTTCTTTCTGTATTAAGTCAAAAAAATGCATTGATGTATAGCTTATTAGATTGAATCTTGTGTTCATTAATCATGTTGTAATTTAGTTGGTAAAATACGAGTAAAGAACTGAAAGTTGAACATTGAAGGGCAAAGAAATTACTTTATTTTGAAATTGGTGGAATTTTGAGGATGTGAATTTACTGAAGCATTGCTCTTACCCTCTGATATTTAAGAATCAAAATGAATAATGATTAGTGAAAGAAGTGCATCAACTAACTATGAGGTGATGAACTTTATTCATATTGCAAATGCACAATGTTGTAATAGAAAGAAATGAGAGTATGTTGGTGTAATAAACAAAAGTATATTGTTTTTTCTTACATTTAACCTTTTCTTAAAATTAAAAACTAACTCTATGCAACAAAGAAGCGCATCAACTAACTATGAGGTGTTCACCTTTATTCATGTTTCCATTTTTGACATGTTTTGCATGCTGAAACGGGGATTTATATCTGCACACACTCGAGCTTTATGCGAATTAATAATTCATTTAGTGAAGAATGAAAAAGAGATTATGAAGCTTATTAAGCATAAAACATACCCTTTACGTGAGGTGTGATTCTTTTTATTTCCTGTGAAGTTCTTGGGTTGAGACAAAGTTCCTTTTTTGTCCTGTTCATAGCATTCTGAATTTAAAGCGAATATATTGCTCTACCACAAAAAAAAAAAAAAAAAAATCTATCATGTTTTCTACTACTTATGATTTATCTCAACAAAATCCAGCTAATTTAGCTTCAGATTCTATAAACAAGTTGTATGACAAAATAGATTTGTGACTCATTTCTCTTCTAACATCAACTACATCTTTTGTAGATGGTATAGAAATCAAAGACCTTAGTTAGCTAATTACAAGTCAATAAAGCCAATCAACTTTTAGCATCAATAATTTGTATGCCAGAAAGAAGTACAGACTACAGACTACAGATAAGACAAGAAGAACTGATACCTTAAAATTTGTGATTGTAGGAGAAGGGTTATGTGCTTGGACTAAAGTAGAAGCATGGGGTGAATATAAGCTCCCTTGCTGTGAAACAAATCTCTGTTGTCCTTGATTACCATGATGTATAGTGCCATTCATGGGGAAATTGTGACTTTGGGGTCCCACACCTTGAGAAATGTGGTTCTAGAACATGCAAAATTACCAAAAACGAAATAGACATCATTGAGGTTATGTAGTTTTGACTTTTGATCTATAATCAAAACAACACAGCTAAATATGCATATGCAACAGGCTACAAACTTCAAATCCTATTGTTGTCAAAGACCATATGTAAAGACTCTTTTGTGCTAATGCCCACAATGGAAATTTGGACATTCTCACTTAAATTATCTCTTCACTTATACCATCAATAGTTAACTGATTACCCACAAGCCACCTGATGCTAAAAATCTCTAAAAATCCCATTTGTTACATCGTGTAAGGCAGCTAGAAATGCTAAGAGACTAAGGATATAAAAATCTTTCAAGCACCAAAAACTATCCATTTTTTAGTATCAACATGAAGAATACATAGATTATTGCACACCAAAAAGCTGAACATAACAACAAAACTGATACCTGTAAATTATTGGGAGTAGCATGGAAGTTGTGTGATTTCTGTGTTAGAACTGAAACAGAAGCATTGGGTTGAAATTGGTTCCCTTGTAACTGCTGACCCATATTAGGCAAATTGCCATCCATCATTGGTGAATGAAATCTCTGTTGTCCTTGATTACCATGTTCAAAGGAGCTTCTACTGAAATTAGACATGCCAAATTGCTGACTTGCAGGAAATCCAGGATTTTGATGACTCGTTGTATTCTTATTATGGATTTGGAACATGGGAAAATTGCCAGGAGGATATTGGGCATAATTAGGGTTTTGTAATTGCAATGGTCTACCAACATTTTGGTTGTATACAGGATGATTCATGGAGTTATTAGCAAAGAACTGGCCTTGTTGTTGAGAAGAATTAAACTGGTTTGGAGGAAAGGGATTGCAATTGTGCTGGGGATTGAATCTACCAATACCGTTGGGGAATTGATCCGTAGGGCTTTGCAAGGGAATGGGCTGATTAGAGAAATTCATGAAACTAGATGGAGCATCAATTGGCCTATTATTGGGATATAATCCTACAACACTACCATTGTACGTTTGCTGATAAATGAGAGAGTTAACCTGTTCATCATTTAATACATTTAATTAGCTCACCATAAAGATAAACTTCACATATACGTTCGAAAACCGAATTGCAGTTATGTTTTGGGAGCCGATGGAGTAATCAGCTAGTTAACAATATGTTCGAAAAGAAAAAGTAGAAAGGGAAGCAGAGCACCTGTTGAAGTATGGAAGCAATTGTTGGATCTTGATTGGAATTATGATGAGGATTCATGATGAAGTACACTGTGGTGAAAATTTCATAAACCTCGTTGTGATTGTTATTGAATGAGGTCCTTGGACGACGACAAACCTTACAAACTGAAAAAGAATTGCAAGGATGAGCGATTTGGGAGGAAATGTCGAAGTATTTGAATCTTAAAGAACACGTTTACTTGATCTTGCCCTATCAATCATATATAAGATAAAAGAAAATAAATTAACAAGAAAAAAGAAAACTGAGGAAATGATTAACTTCCAGTGGACAATATTCTGTTTAGTTTTTTTGAAAAAAAAAATCAAAATCATTCATATTTTTAAAATTTAATCGCAATCATTATTACTTGGAGGGTGTTTGATATTTCTTTTAGAATAGCTTTTTAACTTTTAATTTTTTTAAAAAATAAAAAAAAAAACAAAAAGATGTTTGGATAATAAAAAAATTCTTTTGAAATGATTTTTTGCAAATAGGAAAAAAAAGGGTTTCAAAAAGTCACATTTTGTGACTTTTTGGGACTTTACATATAAAAATTAGACCAAAAATCATTTTATTAATCCAAACACATTTTAAATATCATCTTTTGCAAAAAAAATCCTTCTATAAAAGGTCCTACCAAAAGAACTTTTGATGTTCAAAAGCAATCCCACACCCCTTTCTTGTTGTCATTTTGCTTGTTATTAGGTTTGTTCTAGAAAAAGTTATAAAAAAATTCTATCAACCCTTTTATCCATTTTTTGTTTTTTTTTAATTTTAGGGTTTTTTTTTCAGTACATTAAAAATTATAATTTTTTCTATTTCGACATTTCTAAATCATTTGTTTTTTAAAATTTAGTTACAATATGAATATGAATATATCATATTCATATCTGAATAAATATTTGGAATTTTAGATCCTTTTTTATATACATGTGTTTGTTGTCTTACAATTTAGATATATTGAGCAAATTAATCATTATAAATTAGCGTTTTAAAGAAAAAATATTTTCTTTTTTTTTTTGAAAATTTGTCACTTATTCGAAATGTTCTATTTTGGATTTGATCTTCAAAGTTTAGAGTTTTTTTTTGTTTTTTTCCATTTTTTTTAAATCTCTCTATTTATGTCTGAAATGTTCATTTGAAGTGTTTAATGTCACAGTTTTTCAATCAAATCCAATTTTAGGCCCTAATATCGTATATAGTTCATATTTACTATGTTTATTTAATTTTTTTGTTAGATTTAAGTAAAACAAAAAAAAATCTTAAAATTTTGGAGTTGTTCATTGGATTTCGAACTTTTTCATGAAATTTCGGAGTTTTCTTTTTCCGAACTCCGAGATTTCAGTCTGGATTATCAGTCCGAGATGTACTTTTGTGTAGGAAAAAATATTTTTTCCTCTCTCTCGAATTCCGAACTTGGTTGTTATTTTTGTCAAAAACAATTTTTTTGGTTATTTTTTTCAACTACACATTGCATTATGGTTAGATTACTCAATTTCCTTAAATTATTTTTATCTAAAACATGTTTCAAGCTCTTGTGCTTTGTAAAGGTTTGGAGTTTTACCCTGAACAATAGTAGTGTCTCCGTATCTTCAAGACCTGTCGTAACAAACTATAGAATCTCGAGTTCCTTCCAGAACGACTAGGACGGATCCTCCATAGAGCAACTACTTCATTTTTTGGAAAAATCTTCTATTGTTATTCAAAACATTCAAACTTTTCACTCTTTCGGGTCAATTTTGTAACACATTGTTTCGAGTCGTTTCACAATTTGGGGTCGTGACCCGAAGATCAAGTATCAGGTTTCGTCCTATGGGGGAAGAGCGGCTTAGGCCCATTTGGATGTGGGTAATGTAGCTATGTGATCCAAAAGTTTGGTTTATGCCTTGGGGTCAAAGGGTAAAATGGGAAAGTAGTGTTTCAGACTTCTTTTATGAATTATGGATTTTAGTTCGATGTGTTTTAAGTTAAAAGTAATTAGATAGGGTTGTAGAGCTCCTCAATACCTTTCCGTGGATATAAAGATCATCGAAAACGGAGTTGGAATGAAGAAGTTATGATCGTTTGAAGTTAGGAAGGTTTTGGGCTTAGTCTATTACGCTGGGCATAAATTGAGTACGCTAGGCATACTGAGTATGCTTGAGTATGCTGGGAGTAAACTGAATATGTTGGGCGTACGCGATCAGTGCCCAAACCCTATTTTCGTGGTTTGAGCCCTATTTAAGCTCCTTAACTTCCCCAATCCCATTCCATTCTCAGCCTCCACCTCTCCAACACCCTCTCTTGTAACCCTAACCCTAGATGGAGCCTTGTGAGAAAAAAAAAGGTGTTTTTAAGTGCTTTGGAGTGTTCTTGGTGCACCTTGGAGAATAAGGAACTCATTAAAGAAGTGTTGGTTGCATTGGAGCTTGTAGATCCAGACCGTGTTCACCTTGATCTATCTTCTAGAGGTATAAAGTTTGAATCTTGATGATGTATTTGTTAGATCTAGCTAGTTCTGGATGTTATGAGCTTTTGGTCATTTTAGTACATAATGTTTAGATCTTGAAAGTTTGTGACCTTGTTATGGATAAAGTTGGAAACTTTATCCATCTAAACATCAATGTGATTCAGATCTGAAGGTTGGAGACTTGGACTTAATGGATTAAGTTGAAAAAGATTCACTTTTGGCCACTTTGATACTTAAAGGCTAGATCTTGGTGGTTTGAACCATTCTAATGGATAAAGTTGGAAACTTTATCCATTATGGAGCTTTTAGGATCCATAAAAATGTGATCTTGATCCTTCTATTCCTTCCATGAAAGTGTCATGATGTGTAAATGGATAAAAATAAGTTAAGGTTTTGGCTTGTGGACCTTTTCTAGACATGGAAAATCATAAAGGTGGAAACTTTATGACTTCGAATGATGTTGTGGGACTAGATCTAAGTGTTGGATAAAAGGGCTTAAGAGATTAAGCACTTAATGGAAAAGTGCCTTTTGGTCGAGTACGTTAGGCGTACCATTGGGTACGTTGTGCGTACTCGTGAGGAGTCCCGTCCCTGGATGGTGAGTACGCCATGCGTACGAGCTGAGTACGCTGGACGTACTCAGCTTGAAGTTGACTTGTTAAACTGACTTATGTTGACCGTTGACTTTTTTTACCAAGTTTGACCTTGGGTCAAACTTGAGGGTTTTGGGTTATTAATTAAGATTTCATCTGCTTCTGGTGTTAATGGATTCGCAGGTGCAAGCAGTGCAGAAAAGGGATCGTATTGTATTGTTTTAGAGTTCTTCGATTCAGGTGAGTCTTCTCCCGATGCTCGTGTTGGGTTTTGAGCATTCTAACACTCCTAAGTGTACATGCAACCCTAAATACCTTGGATCTATGTTT